CACCATGATAACGATGCGGCCAATCAAATCACAGCAAATGATCACAATTGACCAATAGGATTGAAGGGACGCAAACAGCCAATGAAAACCCTCGAACAGAACTATATAAGCGCGGTCACGCTGAGGACTGGCGCTTCCCCAAAGTTACACTGATGATGCCTCCTAGCCTGACTACGAAACGTTTGCGCACAACACTTCCAACTCGAAGAACACACTAACAACAACATCCACATCCCGAGCTACAATAGTTCCACATTATTTACAGAGTGTAAAACATTCGGCAAGCCATTTGTACACGTTGATCCGCACTAGAACATTCGCGAGAACACAACAGAAGCAATCAGTTTATTTCTTGGTGTTTCTTTGATTGACAAGATACAGAACGCTCAGTGAAACTTGAAACTCGTGTATCGTGAGTAGTGTGCAAGACAAGGCGATCGCCATCGGGATTAGAGAAGCATCCGTGAACAAAAGACGGGGCGGAATCCACTTGGTATTGAACACCCAAGATCCTGCGAGAATGCATTCACGGAGCCCAGTTTTCCTCGCACAGGATAGATTAAGTTACAAGACAGTTAGGATGCACAGAAAGAGTGTATCCATGGGAACAAAAAAAAGTGGCGCCGCAACGATAGACGACGGAGTGAATTTATCGGGAATTCTCGCCTTTGTGAGTTGATGTCACACTGTTGATGACAAGTGTTCACTTCGAAGTTCGAGTGCCACAAACCTCTGTCTGTTGTGCGAAAAAAATAGAATAGGACATATAGGCACACTGATACGTAACAAGAATGTAATACAACGCCAGAGTCGAATGCAAATCAGAACTATTCTTCGCGACAAGAACTGGCGTGTGTGATATGGTTGTCTCTCAGCCACACAGTTCAGATTGAGTTTTTACAACCATTAACCATGCACTTTCGTGAGCCGGTTCTGGTTACTTTCTTTTGGCTGCCCATTCGGATAACAGAGCAGAATGAAGATTGGAATCCTCAGAGCAAAGGGTACGACAGAAAACTCAAACAAACTGAGGTTACAAGAATAATGAGTGGACACACAAGTGCCACTGTTTGCGACACCTAGCCATATCGCTCAGTGTCTCTAAAAACCGTTGATCACGATCTCGGGGTCCCTAGACAGGGAGCCTAACGGGGCCTATGTGAGTCAGTCTCTTGGTCAGGGTATTCATACCATCATGCCAGGTCTTAGTTTGACCACCCTTGACCTTTTCCAATCTCTGCTTGCATCGGCAAACATCGCTCGTCATGGCAACCTATCTCGTAACATGCGCAGCGCATATCAAAACCAGCGTAATCTATGGAAGTCGAAAGCGGTTACCTAGATCTCTTGGCCCAACCTCAGCATTGCTAGTCCGGTTACCTCACCAGACACGTGCAATGCTACGTAGACAGCGGTGTTCGAACACCGACAATCTCTTTTTATCCTGTTCCCTTAGTGGCCAAGTCTCTGCACCGTATAGCAGGACTGGCTGAACTGCTACAGCATACACTCGACACTTCACGGACAGTCGGATGTCGCGACGGCGCCACAAATGTCTCAAGTTGGTAAATGCCAATCGAGCTTTTTGTTTGCTCGCCGACACTTCATCTGTGATGCGTCCGCCGGGTGAGATATAGCTGCCTAGATAGCAAAATGTGTCTACTTCCTCTACTACTTCCCCAGTTAAGGTGAAACTGGGTGCTGGATCAACCCAATCTTGTAGTAGCATTTTACACTTTGAAGGTGCAAAACGCATACCGAACATGGCAAGACTAGGACTCAAACTATCCAGAAAAGCTTGCGACTTACCTGGATCCTCACTTAGTAGCACAGTGTTGTGTGCATACTCTAGATCAGACAGTCTGCCACCCGGAAGTAAATCGATACTGCTATCCCTGCACGAGGATAGGGCTGTTTCAAGAATTAAATCTATGAAAAAGTTAAATAGAAAAGGAGAGAGAGGGAAACCCTGTCGAACACCACTTCCCGTGGTGAACTCTGGCAATAAAGTGACGTAAGCTCGGATTCGGTTTCGGCTATTAGTAAGAATGGACTGTAAAATTGAAATAAACTTCTCGGGTGCACCCTTTAGAGCGAGGCAGCGCCAGAGTTTAGAGCGGTCGACTGAGTCGATGGTCGCTTTTAGATCGAGGAAGATAGAGATGGTGGGTCACACAAGCAAAACAAGTTTGAGGGAAGTAGATCCAGTACATCAAATTATTGATGCTTCTAAATAAAACGAGCTATGCGGACGCGGCTTTGGTCGCCACTGCACTGAGCCACACTCCGTCCCCGGTTCCGTTTAAAATTCAAAGCAGATAAGCACGCCCCTCCCTGTTCAATTGATTTGTATGCTAAAACAATTTACTATTGCCATTTATAGAGGTCGGTAAACCATTCAAGGTCTCTTTCTCTCTCTCTTTCACACACACTACGATTAGGTGTCGTGCACGCGCCCATGAACACTTGCAGTAGATTAGTTCTGTGACAAGTGAGAGCATGCAATCGCGTTTGAATCACATTGATTGTGGCTTTTTGTGTTTAGTTATTTGTAAACTAATGACCTGAAAGGTCTGAGCAAACCAAACAATGGAGATGTCTCGAAGCACCGTAGCCAAACATGATCTGTACACATCAACCAATCAATCAATCGGAATATCGCATTATGGATGCAAAGAAGCGACAAAATCGGTTGGTCCCACAGAACAATAAGTTTATATATATA